AAATCAGGAATATCTCCTTGTTTTTGTCCGGTGGGGCGGGAGAAACGGGGTTTGGAGCCTCCAAAATAAAAATCCCTCCCCCTTGGGGGAGAAGCGTTTGCAAGCCGAGGCCGGGCCGCAGTCAAGCCCACCGAGGCCGGACACGCCATTGCCCTCTGCCGGTAGCAGACGCTGGGAAGGTGGCGGTGGTTTCAGAGAAAAGTTACTTTTTAAAGCAAAAAGAGCTGCGTCGATCTGTTTCCGACCACCACTAGGAGCAGGTCTTTTGTGAAATTAATGTACCTTAATGACCACGCAACCCCCAACTATGTGGCATAACAACAGGGCCGGACACGCCATTGCCCTCTGCCGGTAGCAGACGCTGGGAAGGTGGCGGTGGTTTCAGAGAAAAGTTACTTTTTAAAGCAAAAAGAGCTGCGTCGATCTGTTTCCGACCACCACTAGGAGCAGGTCTTTTGTGAAATTAATGTACCTTAATGACCACGCAACCCCCAACTATGTGGCATAACAACAGGGGAGCTTAGAAGATGTAAAATGCTAAGTCAGAACAACAAACAGTGTGTATATATCTGCCCTAAAAGAACAAATACAAGAATTGGTATAATACATAAATACAAGAATAAATACTCGAACTGGCCTTCTCAGCCACACTAGACGCTGTTCCAAGTCCTCCATTCAGAGCATGTTACCATAGTCTCTCGAGACTGAAGGATGCCTAATCTAAGGTAGAAAGGACATTCACTCCTCCCACCCTGGTAACCACACCCCTAGCCGATGTATTTTATTATTTACTTAAAATATTTTTATCCCACCTTTCTCTTTAAAAAAATCAGCAAAGGTGGCTTATTTTTTGACATCAGCAGAAAACCTTAATTAAAAGGAGTGTATAAGGGCAGGCCAGCTGGGTCTCCAGTGGGAGGGAGTTCCGAAGTCTGGGAGCAGCTGCAGCACAGAAGGCTCTCTCCTGTGTCCCCATCAGATTCACTTGTGAAGGTGGCAGGAGGGAGAGAAAGGCCTTCCCTGATATTTTTAACATCCTGGCAGGCTCATAAAGGGATTTATTCCTTTAAATTCCTTACCTGGCTCAGGTGGGTTTTATCCAAGCTTCTGGTTCCCATCCTTTCCCGGATGCAGCTGGGGAGGATGGGATGCCTAGTGATCTGGAAGGCGGGAGAGAAAAAACAAAGGTGGATAAATAACACAGAGAGACAGATCGGACGAAAATAAACGACAACAACAGGAAAAGTGGGAAGTAAACAGACTGATCCATCGAACCGGAACGATCAGGGGAGCAAATAAATGCAAACCGCTCGGAAAAAAAGGGGGGGAAGGCTAACAAAAGCTGCACCCACTTCCCTGGGAGGAAATCATCCTCTTCCACGCGGGTGGGCTGATTCCTAAGGAGCCCTGCCGAGGTTTGCAAAGCAGAAAAAGGCTGAAAATCCTGACGATTCATTTTATTGTCCTCTTCCCACGTCCTGGGTGTTTGTGTGTCTGTGTGCATCGCGATGAACAAGATCAGTTACGATACACCGACTCCATCAGAGCGGGATTTTGGAGAAGAAAATCAGGAAGATCTCCTTGTTTTTTGTCCGGTGGGGCGGGAGAAACGGGACTTGGAGCCTCCAAAATAAAATATTCCCCCCCCCCTTTGGAGAGAAGCGTTTGCAAGTTGGACAATGTTTCGTCCCGGCTTCGCAAACTGATTTTCGCTAGACAACAATTTTGACAGCTCACAAAATGGGTGTTTTCGGGACCTAAGCTTTGCAAGACAGCTATTTAAACAGCTGGTTGGCAGTTCGCAAAGCGGCTTTCCTATGGCCGATCTTCGCTAGACAACGAGGATTCTTCCCCATTGGAACGCATTAAGCAGGTTTCAATGCATTCCAACGGGGAAATGCTTTTCGCTAGACAATGATTTTGCTAAACAGCGATTTCAGTGGAATGGATTATCATCGTCTAGCGAGGCACCACTGTATAGAAACATTAGTAGACAAATGCTGATCATAGAGAAACACGGAGATAAACTGGTAAATAAACAGTTTTTCTGTATTTTCTCCCAGACCGACCTAGAGATCCATCAAGGAGAAAATGACTGAAAAAACTGAGAGGTACAGATAGGTAGATCAGGAAGAAAACAGCCAGATATTGGTAAGCAATCACATAGGTCAACAGAGCGAGCAAGGGAGAAAATACAGAGAAATTAGAAGGTACACAGAGAGAGAGAGAGATCGGACGAAAATAAACAACAGAAAAAGCGGGAAGTAAACAGACTGATCCATCGAACCGGAACGATCAGGGGAGCAAATAAATGCAAACCGCTCGGAAAAAAAGGGGGGGAAGGCTAACAAAAGCTGCACCCACTTCCCTGGGAGGAAATCATCCTCTTCCACGCGGGTGGGCTGATTCCTAAGGAGCCCTGCCGAGGTTTGCAAAGCAGAAAAAGGCTGAAAATCCTGACGATTCATTTTATTGTCCTCTTCCCACGTCCTGGGTGTTTGTGTGTCTGTGTGCATCGCGATGAACAAGATCAGTTACGATACACCGACTCCATCAGAGCGGGATTTTGGAGAAGAAAATCAGGAAGATCTCCTTGTTTTTTGTCCGGTGGGGCGGGAGAAACGGGACTTGGAGCCTCCAAAATAAAATATTCCCCCCCCCCTTTGGAGAGAAGCGTTTGCAAGTCCAGCCCTTCCCTTCCCTCCCTCCCATATATTGATATATTTCTCTTTTTCTGCCCACCTTCCCGATGTTGCCTGCCTTCCTTCCTTCCTCCGTCCCTCCGGGCGAGGGAATGAGGCCGCAGTCAAGCCCACCGAGGCCGGACACGCCATTGCCCTCTGCCGGTGGCAGACGCCGAGATGGTGGTGGTTTCAGAGAAAAGTTACTTTTTAAAGAAAAAAGAGCTGCGTTGATCTGGTTCAGACCACCACTAGGAGCAGGTCTTTTGCAAAATTAATGGACCTTAATGACCACGCCACCCCAAACTATATGGCATAACAACAACAGAGGAGTTCACAATACACTGCTTTTTGGGGGAAATTCATTCCTCATCCCCTGACAAAGTCAGGATTGCAGAAAATTAAAGGGAGGAGAGGGATTCGGAGAAAGTTACTCTTTTGTTTTTTGACTGGAAGCTGCAGAGTGTGTTTCCTTTTTTTGCTAAAGGCGCTCTGCATACGCTCAGGAGGACTCTTCAGCCCGTACGCAAAAAAAGAGGGCAAGGTTCCTGTACCTTTAAGAGCAATTTAGAAAAGGACCTTTTGACAGATGC